ACAGCCGGAAAAAATCTGCCACTTTCTTACAGAGCCCCTCCTCCAACACACGAACGCGCACATGACCAATGAGGGCACGAGATAAGTTTGTGCACAGATGGAAGGCTGACAGGCAGGTAGGCCATCCAGTCATTTTAGCCGGGCCGGCTAAAATGATTGGTCGTGCTTTTTACAGTACTACGGCTTCCACAGATGACATTTTTTTATGGATTTTTTGTCAAAGCACTTAAGATATTCATTGCTATCGGGATGTTAAGAGCATTCCATGGAATATAACAAAAAGTGTATCTTGAGCCGGTTTCTCAAACTTACCTACCCCACCTTTAAGCTATACAATAGTAGAACATTACTTAACAAGATTTGTTCATTGTCATTTTATACATCAAAATGCATGTTGTATTTTCATTATGCTATAAAAATATAGTACGAAGGCTGATTAATGTTGTGACTTATTTTTACTGTATGCTGCCCGGTTAGTTGTACATCCAAGTAAGGCATCAATAAGGTAAAATCCACACAAATATTATGTATTTAACCCTGTAAATTACTTTGTAAAAGAAAATGGAATAACTCTAATGAAGTACAAGTACCTAAACATTTTATTTAAGAACAGTACTTGAGTGAATGGACTTATCTAGAAACACCAGTGCTAAAGAAAAGAGCTCAACAATAATCAGCATTTTTTTCCTACAAATGATGGCATGTCCCTATTAAACACACAGCGAATGGTGAGGTTTGGCACATCAAACATCCTAATAGCACACACTCCACAAACATTCCAATGTTAATGGAAAATGATTCATGATCTTTGCATACACATATGTATAGGTCACTTTTGCTTCCCCTTACCTTGCTTCTTCACTTCTCTCTTCTGGAAACACCAGGCCAGCCGGCCACTCTGATGCTCTCCGTACTTGGTAGGAAAGGTCCGTCATCGATGACCATAGGAGATGTTGCCCTGGTTACTGTTTCCGGCCCTGAGACTGCTAGCAATAGCACAACATTGGACATGGGCAACGGAGACATCCTGGTGACCGTTGATGCCATCCCTGAGGGGGAGTTTGTTGTCACTCTGGAAGGAACTGACAAAGTGTCCAACAGCAAATTTCAGAGGCAGTCCACCACCCAGATGTCCATCTCTAAAGTCAAAATCATGGTCTGTATTTTACCATCCTGTGTATACATACAACAAGCAAATGTTTTTATACAAAGTTAGATAAAGGCCTAAACGCACTGTAAGCACTTTTTTTTAATGTCACTTGTTTTCACCTGTTTTCTTCCCTCTAGGCTGTGGTAGACAGCAGTGTGAGGCCAGGGGAATCATTCGGGATCCCCATAAGCGTCCTGACCCAGGGCTCTGGTGGCAAATACAGCGTCAATGCCAGAAATGACAGAGGCTTCACCATGTCCCACCCAGACAGGTGAGTGCTTTTTTTTTCATATAATGTTTCTGACATTAGATTTATATTTAAGCCCTGTAGATGTCTTTGTTACAATGTTTTTTGTGCCATAATGATTGAGGTCTTTGACCATGACCGTTGAAATTGGGTGTTTGAAAGGAGGTCTATTTTATTTTTAAGCTACGCCTTCTGTCCTCCTGCTTTAACTGATTTAGTTTTCTAGTACTTTGTCTAAATCAATTGTCTCTATATAAAAATCATTTGAATAGTTTTGCTGCTGAAGAACTCAGGGGGCGCTGTGCCCGACAAAATAACGTTGCAGGTCCTCAAACCTGGAAATTAGTCAGCTGTTTTGAACAAAGTCAATGGTTTTTTAAAGGATTTTTTGGTGCGTGATATATGGTCTGTAGATTACACGAATTAAGAAATGTTCCCATGTTATGTTTTACGACTCTACACTTAACTTACTCACACTCTTACATAATAATCCTTTGCGACCACACTGCATTCTGAGAAAATACCAAATGAATCATATCATCATAGTGCTTGAGCTCCACTTCTGTGTGCCTTTATCGTGTGCATTGACTCAGTCTGTTGTGCCCTCCTTGTATAAAGCAGCGCAAGCAATGAGCTCAGGTACAAAAGGGCTGCATTCTGCAATTACCTTACAGATTGTATCCATCACTTGACAATAAACTGCCTCCTTGTTGGAATTTTGAGCATTATTCTAGTCTATTATCATTATAGATTTCTCACATTATTTAAATGTAATTAATGATCAATGCTTTGAACGTGAAATGTTCTTGATTTCAATCAAAATCATATGTGTGTGTGTGTTATTCTCAAATTGTTTTTCTCTCTTTTGACAGTATCATCTTGACAACTGGTGTATATACTAATACTAGTCTGACTATAAAACCACCTGCCGACACTCCATCAGGCACTGACGTCACTCTGACGGTGGAAGCCTTGTCGGACAGCGGCGTGGACTCCAATTACGTGGTTATGAGATTCTCTGTTCTAACCAAGGTAATACACAGTTGAAAAGAGTAGGAATAAAAAAAAATGTTTTAAACATGGCTACAAAGACTTTTTTCAGAGATTCAATTCTCCTCCATATCTTAATTGCACTTTGTTGTGATTCATAAATACATTTCCCATTTTTTTCCCCTTCGTTCTCTATCCAGATCACAGATTTCTTTCAGCCTGTGTGTAAATTGATGAGCGTGCTGGCTGATGCTTGCCCTCAAGATGTTTCTCAGTGTAAACCTTTCCAGTGGGAGCTTGCGGCCAACCTTACGGACGGAAACGGTACCGGGATAGAGAGCGTGGCCCTGCGGCAGGGCAGTGGAAACATCACCACCACCTCCCTGAGTGATCCCTTCATTCTGGCCAACTACACAGCCTCTTGCTGCTCTCAGATTGTCGAGATAGTGGCTGTAGATAAAGTTGGAAATGTGGGCAAGTGCTATCATTCCATTGTGCGTTCTGCAGGCCCTCCGGCTTTAACCATGTCTCTTACAATGTGGTTGGGCTTGCTGATCTCTGCCCTTGTTACAAGGTTTTAAAGGGCTTAAGTTAGGTTGTTTAATATCGGATGTACTCTGGGCAAACCATGTACAAATTATTAAAATAAACCTCCTTCCGGTGATGGTCATCTAGTGCTTTTATATTGTACTTTATTAAAAAGTGGGCATTGATTAGGAAAATGGATGATAAAGCTATACAAATGTGTCTGAAAATTAAATATTTAGGCATTTAAAACAGAAATGAGTTGTATTTCATGGTTTAATATTATCCTCGTGTTTGTAACATGTCAGCTTTGGGAACAAAGATTGTATATGGTGATACAAAATATGAGCCATCTGTATGTCAAATATGTCTTATATGTCTTAAATGATACGATGAATTGGAAATGGGGGACCCTGATGTAAACAAGACGAAAGTCTTTCTCTGGTCTGCATCCCCTTAACAATTGTATGTTTTGAGCTGTACTGTACTGTACCCAATATACAAGCTGTTAATAAACTTTTCAATCAATCAAGCATTTCCCTTTTTAATTCGACCACATTTACCATTGGGAACATATCTGTGTACATTAATAATATATTTTAATATTTTTGTATCCAGATGTTCTTAGGAATTGATATAAATAAAAACTATTTCAAATTCAAATGCATAATTTCAATGATCCCTAGGATGATTATTAACACAAAATTGATTGTTAAAAAAAAAAAAAAGGTGATTCACAATTGCAGGAAGTGATAGGTGACGGATAGCAGAATATGTATGTTTTTTCATGTGAATACATTTTTTCCAATTTATTTATGGGAATGTTTTCATCAATAGTAGTCTTAAAAAAAAGGGTAAGAACCACTGCAGTGAATTGTATTCTAAAACCCATTTTACATTATGTAATAAACATTTATCAGTGGAAAAGGCTAATAAAAATGACATGGAGTTTCTCTGGTCGGCATAAAAGGGAAAGAATGATACAAAACAGTCATCCTGTTGTGGAAAAAAACAGATTTTATAAAACATTTTGAGTAGAAATGAAAGTGATTGTGGAGAAATACCTGCATTAAATGTTTTAATTAAAATGTTCATTCATTATTCTAATTCACTTTCACTGGAAGAATGTGTTTCATGCGACTTTGAAGGAAAACAACCTCTTTAACCCTCCTGTTATCCTTGGGGTCAATTTGACCCCATTCAATGTTTAACGTATCTAAAAAAATGGTTCACATAATTGTTTTTGCTTAGTATTTCATGACTTTTCCTAATTTAGTGGAGGACTAATGGGTAAACATAAAATGAACATGAAGATCTTTTTTAAATGTCCTGTACGCACTTTGTACGCATCAGTGTTCCTTGGGGTCAATTTGACCCCAGGCTGTTTTAGTAGTATAAAACATATACAAATGTCAATATCTTACACATATTTGTGTTGATCGTGTAGGATGATATTGAGGTGACTATTACATGCAAATGTATCATTGTAAAACAAAACTACCCTCTGCTTTAGTTATTGGTCCGTTAACAACATCAAAAGATCTTACTTTAACATTTTATTTCAGTCAGTGAGATTTTATGGTGATTTATATATTTTTCGATAGTCACATAATAGGAATTATGGATGTATAAAGGGGTGTGTAGGGGGGAAGGTTGGAGTAATGTTTTATTTAAATGGTTATTTAGGTAGTCAACTAAGATACCTAAAGCACCAGAGACATACATTTTGGTTAAAATTTGGAATATGATCATTGTCTTGAGTTTTAAACTACTGGGGTCAAATTGAAAGGGTGTAAAGTAAATCTGAGGATAACAGGAGGGTTAAGACTTTTAATTGTATGGCCAACGTTCAGCCATAAGCCTTCCTATGCTAATATGTATTGACAAACAGCACATGTATTGTTTGTTCCTTGCCAAAATTAAGAATTAAAAATTGGCCTACTCTTTTGTACCTATGGAAAAGTGAAAATGACCTAATGAATTGTGGATAAAGTATTTATTAATTCGACATGTTTTAAAATAAGTCGAACGATTTAAAAGAAAGAAGTTCCCACTGTAAAATTATACCATTGTCATGCATCGGCCATATTGATTTAAAAAGTCACATTTATTCAGACAAAGGGCATAGGAGCGGTTTAGTATGACACCTCTATATTTATTATCTGCTTTCTCAATGACAGAAAAGATAACAGACCAAGGAAATATACATAGTAATCAAATGAATTCAAACTAAAGGTTTAGAATTCTCAAAAAAAGTCTGGCCATTGTTGTCAGGGAGTTATTCAAGGGGTAGTATCCACTTTCAAAAAATTGAATGCAGGCAGAAAAATACATTTACAGAAGACATAACATGATATCTGTCCCTTGTAAAATAAAACAGTGTGCGACACAATGGCAATATAAGAAAATCAAAAAAGGAGAATTCCGCAAAAATACGACATTAAATCTGTATTTTTTCGTAAACAATATTTGAAACACTTGAAAGAAAAAGTTTTGTTTAGACTAATGGACACAGATAAATGCTTAAGTCGTGTTCCAGTGCTCTGATGTTTACAGAACATTTGAAAAAATAAATCGTTTCACCTCAAGAGAAATATGTGTGGTCATACCGAGCTGTATAATAACCATGGCCGTACATTCATTGTCTTTTTCAGGGATGGCTTCATTGGCTTCTTGTCCAGTGTGAAAGCACAATTGTAATTGCAGGTCTCCCTTGAAAAAGAGATCAATAATCTCAATGGGATACACCTGGATAAAAAAAGGTTTGAAATGAAATGAAATTGTTGTCGTATGTGTTACATTATTGCCCAAGCAAAATCTAGCAGATACAATACTTACAATTGCCTTTTTTTTTTTTTTTACAAAATGTTCACAAAGAAAATGGAAAACCAGTCCTTATGTAACAGTTCCGTCATTTCATGTTTTCTAGCAATTAAAATAAGACAAATAAATGAATAAATAATTTTTTTTTTTTTTTTAAATCAAGTGATATTACAACATCAAGTGATTTGAACATATCTGCTGTGAGAATACTTACAATTAAGGTTTTTAAAAATGTTATATCCAGTTGCTTTTGCAGCAATGCTTATCTGGCTATTCTGAGCCACAATCCTTTGTACAGCGGATTCATGAATAAAGTATGTTATTTCGAATGCAGCCCCAATGTTTTAATGTGAGCTTGCAAGTATGGATGATATCACTTGTTCTTTCCCAAAATTGAAAGGAAATTATTTGTTGAAATATTTGTAACTAAACTCAAATTAACTCTTGTTAAGAATGTAAAAGAGCTTATCTCCTTAAATGAAGTGATATTGAAGCCTTCTTACAGCTAATAACATCCTCAGAGGAAAAGGGTGGCATATTGGATGTCCATCTCTCATGGGATTTTATGAACATTTTTGACATGCTTTTTCAGGTGGCCTGACTGCTTGAAACTCTTATCACAGTGAGGACAGGCATGTGGTTTCTCCCCTGTGTGAATATACTTATGCCTTTTCAGGTTATTGGAGTCTAGAAATCCTTTCCCACAGTATGAACACCAGTGTCTCTTCTCTCCATTATGCCACCTTAAATGGATATTAAGTTCTACCCTCCTTGCGAATTTCTTTTCACAGAGGTTGCAATGAAATGGTTTCTCTCCAGTGTGCATCCGTAGGTGGGCTTCCACATCTCGTTTTGTGAAGAACCCTTTCTGGCAGATCTGGCAGACAAAAGGCTTGATCCTCCTGTGCACCATCTTGAGGTGTTTGGTGAGGCCGAAACTATAGACAAAGCCCTTCCCGCACTGTGGGCAGACATGGATCCTACCATTGCGGTGAACCCGTGCATGGCGTTTGAGACATTTCGAGTCTGGGAAGCCCTTCCCACAGAGCGTGCACGAGAAGGGTCGGTGCCCAGTGTGGAGACGAACATGGCTTTCTAGGGCTGCAACGCTGCTGAGGACACGGCCGCACTGCCCACACTGGTTCTTGAGCAGACGCCTACCAATGACTGATAAAGGCTGTAATGGTGACATAACAGTAGGTCCTCTGACAGGTATAGGGAAGAGAGAAACGCTTGGAGGGAAAACTAGCGGTTGATTCTGGGATTTGGGTGATTTTGTCTCTTTCTTCTCCCCAGCAGGAGGTGTTTTATTGGCTGATACTCTAGGAGGAGTCCAGATGGCTTTAGCTGTAATTTTTTTCGGAGTGTCACTGTTCTCTGCTGACTGGCTTGTTTTAGTTCCATTCTGCAACTTGGATTGACTGGAACTTCTCATTTTGGCCATTGTTTTGGCTTTTGCTGCTTTAGCCAACTTCTTAGCATTCACCACTCTTAAATTATTTTTAGGACCAGTAACATCTGGACTTAATCTTTTTTTTTTTGCAGGAGTGGATTCCCTTGTCTTTCTAGGACTGACACAACCTTTAGCCAATTTAGGCCACCTAATACTTGGGGAACCAGGGTTCAACTTAACCTCTTTAGTACTAGCCTCGTCTGAAGTTATTCTATACCCAGGACTGAAGGAATTGGTTTCCCCTTGAATCTGTGCACTGGTAGTAGCATCTTTAGGTAAGGTACATTTTCTACGGCAGAAAGAAGGCGACCCCTTGAAGATAATTTGAGGGCTAGTGCCAGTTTTACTTAAAGTAGTCCTCTTTGGGTCCACAGAAGTGGTTTCAGAACTTTTATTGCTAGCGCCATCTCTAGTTGAACTAATCCTCCCAGGACGCACAGAAATGCTGTCAGTCTTTTTTGAGCCAACACTTTCATTAGGTGAGCTACCCTTTATAGGACTTGCAGAAGTGGATCTTGTCTTTTTAGGGGTAGGACTTTCTTTAATTGAGATAGATTTTCTGGGACTCAGGGAAGTGGATTTATCTGTTTTAGAGCTAGCACTTTGTTTACTTAAGCTAGACTTCCTAGGGCTGACAGAAGTTGATTTTCTGTTTTTAGGGCTAGCACTTTCTTTAATTGAGATAGATTTTCTAGGACCCATGGAAGTGGATTTATCCGTTTTAGGGCTAGCACTTTGTTTACTTAAGCTAGACTTCCTAGGGCTGACAGAAGCTGATTTTCTGTTTTTAGGGCTAGCACTTTCTTTACTTAAGCTAGACCTCCTAGGGCTGACAGAAGCTGATTTTCTGTTTTTAGGGCTAGCACTTTCTTTACTTAAGCTAGACCTCCTAGGGCTGACAGAAGCTGATTTTCTGTTTTTAGGGCTAGCACTTTGTTTACTTAAGCTAGACTTCCTAGGGCTGACAGAAGCTGATTTTCTGTTTTTAGGGCTAGCACTTTGTTTACTTAAGCTAGACCTCCTAGGGCTGACAGAAGCTGATTTTCTGTTTTTAGGGCTAGCAATTTCTTTAATTGAGATAGATTTTCTAGGACCCATGGAAGTTGATTTATCCGTTTTAGAGCTAGTTAAAGTAAAGCTAGACATCCTAGGATACAGAGAAGTGGATCTTTTAGTTGTGGAGCCAACATCTACACCTGTAGACCGGCGAGTCAAAGGAGTGGACTCTCTAGTAGCCTTAAACCTCTTAGAACTGACCGGTGGATCACTAAAAGTCCTCTTGGATCCAACACTAGCTCCAGATTGTCCAGATCTCTTGGGAATAAAACGAACAGGGTGAACAGCTTTCCTGGCTGGAGATGTAACATCTTTAACCAATCCTGAGTCTTTTGGTATCAGGAAAATTGATTTTTTTGTTGTGTTTTCATTGGCTGGGCTGTCATTTTTTAATCTAGGATTTATAGGCCTTATAGCGCTGGTCTCTGTTTCTTTGCATGGATTCATTTTAGACCTTTGAGTTTGCAAGCGAGTTTTGAGATGACTTTGGAGCTTGTCCAAAATAGATTTGTTGTGGAACCTTTTCTTGTCACCAGTTATGGTGTCTTCAGAGGAAGCTGTGGCATCCATGGAGTCCTCTGAGGAAGCCTATAATAAAAAGGAAAGATAAAGAAAGAAATTTAGCAAAATGTTGCAAGAGTAGCCAAGAAATATATTAAGGTGCTCCCAAAACATCCAAGGCCATTGTGAGGAACATTTCAGGCCAGTGAATAAACACCAATGTTACCATTCACACCCAACATTTCACGAGTAATACAAGGGGCGTAGTTAGGAGCTTGAAACATTGGGGGCTTAGCCCAGCCCAGATTTGTCATGGGTGCTTGGAACATATTTGTCATTGACATACACAAATAAGGCGCCAAAAATGATCAAGGTTGTATCCATATATCGTTAAATTACTTGTTAATATAACAATGATTGAGGTCATATGATCAGATTGTACAGTAAGTCGATAAGGTAAAAATGATTGATGTGATTATCATATATTGCACAATAAGTAGATAACAGGAAAATGAATGAGATCATGACCATATGTCTGAAGACAGGTCAATAATTTAATTATTATGACAGACCGATGCCCAAACAATCAACACCATTACAGCCTGGTTAATTATTATTTCCCATGGAAGGCGTTCTTCCGAACATGTAGAATTAGTAATAGTACTTTATCCTTGAGACAATGGATTTGATAAACCGACAAACGAGTGATAACTCTTAACATACCTTTGTTGGGTCTTTCGTAACAGGTGTCACTGCCAGCTGTGCAAGGAACTGGGCTTTAGTCATCCATGAATGAGGAGTTGACATGTCCTCGGTGGCGATTGGAGTTAGATGCATGATGTCAGCCGATGATTTATTTTCTGTAGGTGTTGTATTGGGGGCCATTGTTGAGTTCTCAAAGTCTGGTCTTGACACCTCGGAAGGTGTTCTGCCTTCAGAGGATAATGATGCCTTCTCTTGAATACCTTTGGGCTTTTCTGCCATCTGAGAGATATTCACAGGCAGAACAACAGGAGTTTCTTTTAATCCGGGACATAACTCAGTGGATGACACAAGCGTCTTTGATGGCTGCGTTGACATAACCACAGATGATGGTTTCTCTTTTGTGATACCTTCTTTCAAGTTTTCAGAAGATCCATCTGTAGGCAGTCTAGAGACATTCACTGCTTCTTTGGCTGATATTGGAAATGAGAGCCTGGTTAATCTGACCACGGCAGAGAGTTTCTGTGCAACAGTTTTTTGCGTTATCACTGGAGGCACAGAGGTAGGCACTGGCCCCTCTGATGCGTTTAAACTGGGAATGTTTTCTGTAGGTGCTTTTATTAGCTCAGAAACGGAGTCTATTTGTTGGGGATATTCTAAAATAGGTTCCGATGTTTCACTCTTGTTTTGAAACAACACTTTGGTGTCTTCATCTGAAGCAATTTGTGGATTCACAGTAATCCTTAACTCCTGTGAAGGTGAAATCAAATCGGGCGATGACAGTGTAACAAGAGCATCTGATTTGGCTGTATCTTGCTTGGTTTTCGGAATGATGGTCTGTGAATGAAGCAGCCTTGACGCCACAGCTGACACTTCTCTTGGAATTATTATTGTGAATTGAGGTTGTTGTGTTGGCCCTGACAATGAGTCTTTTGCGGTTGTGGTTGACTGTGAAAGGTCAGCAGAAACCAATTTCACGGACGCAGCGTCTACTGTTGTCTGAGGAACAGAGTCTTTAAAAGGGGGTTCCGAGAAGCAAGCCGGCAGTTAAGGAGTCTGGAAGTATACTCTTCTTCTGTGCAGCAACAACTGTTGACACAACAGTAGGAGGCTGGGAGGGAGATGGTGCTCCTATTTTAGGAGGTTTTAAGAAGGATAATGATCTTGGCATGGCAATTATTTTACGAGAGACTGACTTGATCGTTTTGCTGGTTGCTACTGATGTTACCGGAGAAGCAGAAGATTGCTGTTGAAGTGCCCGCATAATGCTTTGAACCGCAACATGTGTTAAGGGAATTGAAGATATAGTAGGTGTAGATGGAATTACTATATGCTGTTGTTTTGGTAGGACAAAGTTGATGTTGGACTGAAGCTCATTGGTCGGAGTTATATCAGTATTCACAGGAGAGTCATTGTGTTTCTCTATTGTTGATTGGTCCTTTGTGGAGAGCTCTGTAACATCCAGCTTGCATGCAGCTTTACATGTTTCAATAGGAAGCGGTGGTGTCTGTTGCTCTGCTGCGACCTCGTCCACAGTTTGTAGGATGCCCACATGAGAAGCACTCTGGGTCTTAGCTGGTGCTGCCATATCCACTGTTGACTGATTCATAGCTTCAACTAATAGCATTGCATCCTGAAGAGTTACAGAGCTACGACGTTCTCTGGGCTGATCTTCAGGAGGGTTTAATGTTTCAATTGAAGATAAAGATTCAGTGAATGGAGTTTGAATCGAGATTTTTTCATTTTCCATGGAGAGTTGTTGAGGTTTAGAGGTTTTACCCTTTCTAGAGGAACATCTTTTACCTACAGATGGTACTGAAAAAGTCGGAGAACCATTTTCCTTCATAGGCTGTTGCTGATTTTTGGCTTGCTTTGGCGGACGTCCTCTTCTACGTGGGCCTGGCAACTCAGGCTGGGAACTACCCTCAGCGTCGCCACTTTTTGATTCTTCAAATGCTTTTCCTTTATTGAGTTGTTTACGTGGTGCACGTATTCGTTTCCCTGTAGTTTTAGGAGTAACATCAGCCTGTTCATTTACTGTTGTTTTGCCCTCCTTTGGACATTGTAGGTTGACCACTAATGGTTGCTCTTTTTCAAGAGGTTCAACCTCTGATTCATTATGAGCAACCACCGATTGGGGCTTTCCAGTTTTTATGAGTTCTCCCTGCGTTGCTGATATGTTTTGACTTACTTCAGAATCTTCTTCTATGTTGTTGTTTATGGAAGCAAGTGAGAAGACTATTGAAGGCACCAATTCAGGCAATTGATTCTGAGCTCCTTCGAGACCACTATTACTTCCCAAACAGGGTTGTTCTTGGGCTACTGGGGTCTCTTCTTGGGGCGTGGGTATTTCTCCAGTTGAACTTTCCTGGTTAACGAGATGCCCTCCAATTTCAGTTGCACAAGCAGAGGCCTGGGGTGAATCTACCAGTGAAAGAGACATTTTAGAGGAAACATTAGAAGAATAAAGGGAGAATGGTATGGAGCAAACCTTGACAAATTATGTCAATCTTACAAACTATCAAACTAGTTGAGAAAATAACAGTTAGTTTGAACTCTTTACCTGGTTGATCACCTGAAACTTGCCCGCAGACCACCATTTGCTCCACTTCCTCTTGCTTAACGACGGAATGCGACTGAGAATCATAGGAATCCTGCGGCAGAGGAATTATTTTTTTAATTTCAACAAGACAACATAGATGGAAAAAAAACAGTATTGATTTTTTTTTTTAATACAAACACACCTCCTGTTTGACAACTATAGAGACCATTTGAGTAGTTCCCTCATAGTTGTGGTCATGCAGAGTGTTCTCAATCTCCTGATGATTCACAGGTGGACATTGCTCCACCAGCATCATTCGGGAAGGAACAATATCTGTACAAATAAACACACGGAAAATAGGACAATTCGTTATTTCTGTGGCTTATGTCCTGAAACTTTCAAAAAATGTCAAAATGTCAAAAAGTGTAACACTGACAAATCCCTAAATACTGATCCAACCTATCAAATCAAATCAGGTTTTATTTATAAAGCACATTTAAAAGCGATTTTTGGTCGAGCCAAAGTGCTGTACATGTAATAAAAAACACATTACTACAAAACACAATAAACGACAATAAATTACAACAGATATAACTTAAAAAACAAAATAAGAATAAAACACACGGAAAAGTCAGGAGTCATGCTCCGCTCTAATTAGAAAGCCAGAGAGAAGAAGTGTGTTTTTAATGTGGATTTAAAAACCCCTACGGTCTGGGCCGACCTCACATGGAGGGGCAGAGTGTTCCAGATTTTTCTTTTTAAGGAGTGGCTTAACCACGGCATGTTTGAAGGCAGCTGGGACACATCCTGAGGTAAGAGAGGTGTTTAAAAGTAATAAAATACTTGCTCCAACTGATTCTAAAACATCTCTGAGAAGGCGAGAGGGAATGCTGTCTGAGATGCAGTTTTCTCAAACCTACTAAATTGTTTATGCTAAATGTCCCCTCCATCTGTGTTATGTACATGGTACTACATATTCTTAGATAGTTTGAGTTTTATGCTTGTAAGTAATAGTGTCACGTCAACAAATACCTTCGTACTATGTTGATGCCGAATTTCTGAAAAGGTGATGTGCCGGTTTCCGAAATGCTACTCCTTCTCCATAATGCCTGTAGTCAGGGCTCGGGATTAATTACCCTTTAAAATGTATTTATTTGTGTTTTTCGTTTTTGTGTTTTCCTTCATACCTACCATAATTTGGCACTTTATGCATTACAAGTCTTTATTTCTGACACATATTAGAGTATGCAACATAAAGAAAAACAAATGTTAAAGTACACCTATCATGCTATGTTAAGGCATATATTATGAGTCTCAGATATATACAAATATATAAAAACATGTCTATGATGTGTTTTGCTCAAAATACAAACAGATCATGCATTTTAGAAATCCCTCATATCCCTCTATTCCAGCCCTGTTAGAGAAAAAAAAAAGAGGAGGAGGAGGCGGAACTAATGCCTGATCAGAATTCTACCCGAGATAAAGTTAAAGTGCACCTATCATGCTATTTTTAGGCAATAGCATAGGTCTCAGATATATAAAAAACATGCCTATGAAGTGTTTTGCTCAAAATACCAAACAGATCACCCATTCTAGCCATGCCTCATATCCCTCTATTTCACTTCCTGTTTCAAAAGTGCTGATTTTGGGTATAAAGCTTGTGATAACAAATAAAAAAGGAGGGGGCTGAGCTCTTGCGGGACCCGGCAGCCACTGTCTAAACTAAATACTGCCGTGATGCAACACCATATCATGGATTATCAAGGATTATTTCTGAAACAGTATGGAGCTCAAAGGCTTTCTCTCTTGCCGGTTATACCACAAGGTGAGTTCCTTTTTATATATTGCTTCTTCACACACATGCTCTCTCCAGTACAGGTTAGCTCTGAGTGTTAGCGATGCTAATGTAAACACTGACCATATTACGTCCAAAACTGTCGGGCATTGCTTCTGATAGCAACTTTCTGTGGTGCCGTGGGTCCACATTTTCGATATTGCAACATATCGGACGCAAATCTGGATCAGCTCCGTTGTACCCCCGTTTTTAGAGATTTGGGTACGGAGGAAAAGAGAGGGTTTTATTTTCTGACGCTGCGTGAGTTCCCCGACACATATTTATGTATAAAAGACATAAAAAAGTGCATTTTGCATGATAGGACCCCTTTAGATTCTGCTGTGATAAAACACCATCCTGTTCTAAACCACATCAAGGATTATTTCTGAAACAGTATGGAGCTCAAATGATTTTTCTCTTGCGGGTTTATCACAAGGTGAGTTCCCTTTTTTATTTCCTGCTATTAAACACATGTGCTCTTCAGTACAGGTTAGCTCTGAGTGTTAGCGAGGCTTGCTAATGTAAACACAGACGAAATTACGTCCAAAACACGTCAGGCAATGTTTCTGATAGCAACTTTCTGTGGGTCCGCTGGTGTTTATCATTCAGCCCAAGTCAAACACTACTATTGTCTTTTGTGGTGACCTTTTCATGTTTTATCTAGAAATAGTGGTTTTAAACTGGCATTCCAGGGCAGGTCTTCATTACAAGTAGAAAGTGTTTGTGTTAGGTTCCTTGCTTAGTTTTTCTATAAAGATTGGGCTCTAAAATAGAAGAGAAACCATACAATGGTATCTTGGCTAACTGCTTTGACGCAGCGTTTTAAAGGGGACCTATCACGCAAAAACCCTTTCTCTTTTCCTCCGTACCCAAATCTTAAAAACGGGGGTACAACGAGCGGATACAGATTTGCTGCCGATATGACGTCAAATTGGAGGCGGACCCACAGAAAGTTGCTATCAGAAACAATGCCTGACGTGTTTTGGACGTAATCTCGTCTTTGTTTACATTAGCAAGCCTCGCTAACACTCAGAGCTAACCTGTACTGTAGAGCACATGTGTTTGAAAAGCAGGAAATTAAAAAAAAGGAACTCACCTTGTGATAAACCCGCAAGACAAAAAGCATTTGAGCTCCATACTGTTTCAGAAATAATCCTTGATGTGGTTTAGAACAGGATGCCGTTTTATCACAGCAGAATTGAACTTTATCTCCGGTAGAATTCTGATCAGGCATTAGCTCCGCCTCCCTTTTTCTTTTTTCAAGCTAAGGACCCAAGCAGTATGAGGAATGGCTACAATGGGTGATCTGTTTGGTATTTTAAGCAAAAAACTTCACAGACATGTTTTGTATAGGTATGGCCCTACAATATATTTTTCCAATATCGCATAATAGGTCCACTTTAAATCAAGTTGTGTCATTATGATTTTAAACAGCACTGTTGATTTACTTTAAATATTAAATACAATACAAATTAATATTGAGTTATTACTTTAATGCCTCATGTTCTCTTGCCTACACAAACACATAACAATTGGCATGGTCAACCTTTTTAGACAAATGGCTACATAGTATGATCATATCCTACCTACTGTTACAACATTTTTAGGGACAATTAGCATTCTTTAGAATGTGTCATGTAGAGATTTTAATATCTTTCCATTACAACTAGGGATGCTCCGATCGCCAATTTTGGGGCCGATTGCCGGAATCAGTATCGGCCGATACCGATCGCCGATCCGATGGAGTGGGGTGGGGGGCTATGGGGATCTTCCATTTAAAGTGATGTTTAAAACTCAGTTCAGTGTTTCCCCTACCATTGTCTTGGAGGGGCGCTGCGCCCCGCCAACGGAGCCCAGCGCCCCCCCTGAAATTCAAGGTGTTATATATAAAAAACATTTTTTTTATTTGGAACCAAATTGCAAACTAAGTTTTTGTTGATTTGGGCATATTTCCTGGACAGGCTACTTTGTACAGACAAAGTTAATAATAACTGTAATATTCCAGTTATAAACGACATGAATCAAAGATGTGTTGCTGTATTTTAGTGGTAAAAAAAGGCAGGCATCAGCAGAAGGAGGCGAGAGCGAGAGAGAGAGAGAGGAGAGATAGCGAGAGAGCGAGAGAGGAGAGAGAGAGAGAGAAGAGAGAGATGAGAGAGAGATAGAGAGAGATATAGATATGAATATGAGAGAGAGAGAGATAGAGAGAGAGAGAGAGAGAGAGAGAGATAGAGAGAGAGATAGAGAGATATAGATAGAATATATATATATATATATATAATATATATATAGATATATATATATATATATATATATATATATATATATATATATATATATATATATATATATATATATATATATATATATATATATATATATATTACACAGTGCCGAACGCTGGCATTTCTCCTCCTACTTGAAAGACTACGGAGGGATAGGGTCTGCAAAATTAGTTTGTGTGTGTATATATGCTCTGAACGTTCCACTTCCAGCCTGCCCGACATTACCTTACGGCTGCGTTGCGTGAAAAATAGGATTCATCCTAATTTTAGAGGAGCCCTGCGCCGAGAAGCTTCTGAGCTGTAACACGCCGCGTGTGGTGGAATAGCACCCATTGACTAGAGTGGCCGCGATCGCCGTGGCGCAGCCGTAACGCGCCGCAGACGGACCCGGTGGAATCTAGGGGTTAGTGTGTGTTTTGCGCCACTCACCGGTCCGTCACAGCGGGCGTCACACCGCTATTTTACTGTCTTTTTCGGACACCTTAAAGTGGACCTATCATGCTATATTTAAATGATATATTGTAGGGCCATACCTATATAAGGTATATTTATACGTTTCGGTTTTCAAAATACCAAACAGATCATGCATTTTAGCCATGCCTCATTTCGCTCTATTTGCTGTTCTCCAGCCCTGTTTTTGCAGGGGGCTGATTCTGTGAGCTGCAGCTGACCACGCCCCCCTGCAGGAGAGGGGAGCTGCTCTGATCAAGTCAGAAGAGGGGGAGAAAAATAGATCTCTGTCCTCCGTGTTTTATTATAGCCTATTATTATATAGAGTCGTTATTCATTTGTTTTAAAGCTCAATAAATAACAAAGAAGACCTTTGACCGGCACTTTTCTAATTTTGTCCAGAAGATTTAAACTTTAACGGACATCTTGACCGGCGAAAGAAAACCTAACTGAAACTCTGCCGCACGGTCCCCTCGTTCCTTGGAAGAGGTGGGTGTTTGTCATCTGCTGGTGGACTAACCGGAGAGAATTACAGTGCTTGCCTCGACGGAGAGGGATTGCATTGAATTAAAGCAGCAGGAGCAAACGCTTGCCTCAGGGAGGGAGAAAAAAAGCCACAGTGGAGAATAAACAGAAGGGTAACCATGCGTGGGAAGTCTTCTTCGCTGCTTTTGTGGCAGACTACAGCGCCACTTACAGGCCTGGCATATGTACTACAGCGTCTCCAGCACTTTCGAGCGGCAATGGCCGGCCGTGGCCCAACCCCACATTCCCCTGATAGGTGGAGAGTTGGCCCAATAGCCGTAGTCCTGACGTCAGGACAGTGTTCAAATCTGGATCAGTTTTTTTATCAGATCCGTTGCAGCCCCTTTTTTTAGAGATTTGGGTATGGAGGAAAATAGAGAGGGTTGTGTTTTCTGACACTTGGTGAGTTCCCTGGAACACCGGGGACACATATTCATGTATAAAAGACGTACAAAAGTGCATTTTGCATGATAGGTCCCCTTTAAATAAAATACTGCCAGACTGGTGAAGCCATTTTGGCGAGCTTGTTTTGCCGTGCACAGAGAAAAGTGTCATGTATTTTACGTTATGTGATCGGCATTTATAGAGAGCACCGATCGATCGGCATAGAGTGAATATCGGCCGATATCGATCGACGGCCGATCGATCGGAGCATCCCTAATTACAACCTTATTAAACTCTACGTTATGTGAATTGTGATTAAATAAAGAAGTCAAAATGGTAGGCCTACTGATTATACAATGTATAATGTTAGCATCTTAGTGCTGTATACTCCCATAATGTTACAGGCCAATATTGCTGTTGGTACATCCGGTTACAAAGCCGTTAGCGGAAATAGCATTGTATGGTTTCCCTCGAATTTTGAACCCCATGCCTTAGAAATAACTAAGTTAGGCGAAGATATTTTATACGTCAATAGCCATGGGCTGCTTTTTGTATTCAACAGAACCACCTACTTGTGGCACTAACAGAAAAGTATGTTAGTTAGGAAAGCCATGCTTGTTGTGGATAGTAAGGCATCACAACTCACCGCATTGAATAGCTTGATCACGTTTCTCAGAGCCGTCGCTGGGCCCTGGAGGAGGCTCACTTTCTCCGGAAACGATAAAAACAGTTCGTTGATTTCTCTCCATCTCAAACTGCCAGCATCTTGTTTTGAGTTCCTCGTTCTCCGTTTTCATCTTGGATATTTCGGCCTTCAGCTCGTCGACCATACTTTCGAAAAGTTTCGTAGTCTCTGCGATTGCAGCCTTTAGCATACTCTCCATGACGGAGGAGTATTTCGTCTGAAAATCGTCCGCAGACATTATTGTATCTTGGTATAGTGCACCGTTCCTGCGAAATTCGATATAAGTCCACTTCTATCAGTACATGTCCTATACCGTTAGTAAAAACACGACATTAGGTGCTGCCCCATCATGGCTCCTTCTCGTTGTGGTCGGACGGCGGTCTCTGCTTTGTGTGACGCAGGACGACGCATCCGGGGGGACTGAAGATAACATCCGGTGCTACGCTTTAATACCTACAATTGTGTTTTATATATATACCTTAAGTAAGAAAATAATAATCGGGTGCATGTGTCAGTAATACATTATCAATGTTGCTCTGCTTGCCAAATCCAGACCAGGAAGTACCAGTCTAAAAGACTCCCTTTATTCGTAAACTATTAGAATTGTCCCAACTTCCTATCCGTATATTTCTAATACCGGAAGTGCGGTTGTTTACGGAACAAAAGGAAGTGGTAAAGCTTAACGGAATTTGCAACGTTGGATAAGGAATTGAATTACTTTTGCCAACAAAGCCAACTCGCACTGAACATAAACATTAGTCATGTTATGTATTCATGTTATTGTTTGCTACATTTGCTTACTGCGTGTAGTTCAAAATGTGTAACGTTAGTGGAAACACCAGTGCAGCAAGCTAGTTAGCTAACGTTGGCAAACTACTGTTTGTTTAGCATTACCTTAGGATTGTTATAAGGAAAGCACCCAAACGGGACTTGTGGACGGGCCGACATACGAGTACATCCTGTTTAACGTTACATAGACTGAAACCCGTGTTGAATACACTGGCACAACCAGTTTAAAGAGACCAGCGCTAGCTGACAGCTGCTACTGTACTACAGTCTTGAAGTTGGCACAATGGCCGAAACTATTGTCACGTTTCAGTCCCAACTTTCTGGTGTTATGGAGACGGTCTTCAAAGCAGCAATGTATGAGATCACCCGGCTGGTGGAGGACAGTTTTCTGGAAGAGGTTACACGGTGCAGGGAGCAAGTGGAGTCCCTGAAGAGGCGGCTGAAGTGGTCAGAGGGTCGGCGTAAAGAAAGAGAGGGAGAAAGGAGGGGAAGGTGTCTCGACTGCGGGAGAGTAGAGGTGTCCGGCGAGGAAACCCCCAAAGTGTTAGGTGAGTCTGTCTGGTGGTGATACTCGACTTTAACATATACTGTGATCGATACTCAAATTGCTTTGGTGTATGGTGTTTCAAACATAAACAGTAAACACCATAGGGACATAAGTTGTATTATTCCACTTCAAGTTTTGTGTTGCACTAAATGTTTGTTCCCTCTCAATGCCAAAGAGCCGACAAACAAGTTTAGCAACAAGCTGGTGAAAATACAGAAGCAGTTGGCAACTAAGGAGCCAGATTGCTAATCTTGCTCTGAGTTAGATGGATGTGTTAGCATTGTTTTGGCTGTATAGCAGAACAAGGATGCAAATGATGTATCTCACATCTAATCAAATTCAATAGAAATGTTGATTATAGCTATATCCACACCATTAGAGTGTTACCCATTGTTAGCCTTCCTAAATCTTCCAAACACAAATGGGAATATTCATGCCTCAATCATTTAAATAAAACATATTTTACCTATCTTCTCCTACAGATAAAAGTCTCAAACAGGAAAGTGTGACGCAAGAAGAGATGAGTGGTCCCCAAGAGAGTGATGGAGAGACACAGGGCCGTGAAGCAGACGAGGCAAGACCAGAGTCTCACAGAGCCCTGAAGGCAACACAGGTACAGGGCAGTTTGTCTCACTTGTATAGCTTCAGTAAGTTAGGTTTAAAATGTTTCAGGGGTTAATGTATGTTCGTAACAGATACATTTTTAGTATTTTGTTTAAATGTTCTGCAATAATTACTCTACTACTTTTATTTCTCAAAATATGGATACAGAATTAAACCATTCAGCTGTCTTTTTGTATTTTATTTCTTGCAAGAAAGTTCATTCAGTCATACAGAGAGCATACTATCTGTCTAGTCAAGTTAAACCTTCTCATTAATGTCTTTCTGCTCCTCTTACAGTCTTCAGGTGTACAGGGTGAAAAGCTGAATAGATTGTTCAAGGAGGAAGCCCTTCAGATCACGCCAGAAGCGAATGTGTCTGAGGAGAGATGGGGAGGACATTTGGATGGTCAGTGTTTTAATATTCCAAAGAGAAATGTTACCCCTAAATACAAAATATAATTGTATTTCTTGTACCTTTTATCACTCAAACATTTTTGGTGTGAGCTTCAGAGATTTAGCCCAAAAATATATTTCATAAACTAAATTTCATACACAATAATTAATTATTTAAGATATTCCACAGACTTTGTAGTCAGCAGTTTCATCTAAGAACTATTTTCTTTATACCCTATCACTATGCAGGTGGAAGCGTGCATATACTCATGAACAAGAGGCTTTTTTACACATGAAGGTTAAACCATTAATTGCATCCTCCTTGGCCAAGTGGCATCTAGTTCTATTTTATTTAAGAGAAGGAAGACCTTTCTTAGGTTGTTATTCCATCTACATTATATGACATCCAATTACATTTAGCTGACCTTTTTTTATCCAGAGCAACATGCAATGAGTGCATTAAACCATGAAAAAACGAACTCAGAAAAACAAATATCATGCAGGTGCATTAGCTACTAATTAGCCAAAAGCATGGTAAGTTCTACTGCATTACAGTAGCTTCTAATAAGCAAGTGCTACCTACAGAGGAGAGTTTTTTTTTAAATTAGTATTATTAATCTAGATTGATAAATAGAAGAAGAAAATGTATACAAGTGAAGCACATATTTCAGATTTTTGGGAGATCTGTCCCTGTATTTTCAATCACCTAACATAAGTATATAGTCATTTCTACAGTACTAGTTTATAGGACAACTATACAAGATATGTATTATTATTTATCTTTATTGACAAGATAGATACTACTAGAAATATGTATTTGTGATGTTTGGGTGATATGTCCTTGAATTTTTTATGCATAACTATACAGCTATTTGTTACAGTTTTTAGTTGGAGTTTCTTCTTTGTAACAACATATCCCTAATTGTTGGAAATCCTCTCCTGCTATCAGAGGGACCAGGTCTGCCAGGGCCCAGTAAGCGCTTCAGTGTCCAGAAAACCCCAAAGTGCCACATTAGCTGGGAAACTGGCTACGACCAGAGTCCAGAATCAGGCCAACACAGATGCCCAGGCGACCCATCTGAACCGGTTTTCCTGAACAGGTATGGCATGGAAGATTATGGTGGCTTTGACAAGACCGGCTATGGAGACTCCAATATGATTGACATGGGTAACCTGGACGGGTTACAAGGGTCGCCATCGCAGTTGGGTCAGGATTCGAGTTACATGGGGCACTACGAGGGGGATGTGGAAGCACCAAAAGGAGCCGAGCATCACGTTTACCAAACGGGTGCCGTGCGAAACAGAAGGGGCGCGGTCGGTTTAACTGCAGGGTCTCCCTCAAGGACAAACATTGATGGAGGTGGAGAGCTCAGCTGTTTATTGATTAATGAGAAGGGGTATCTACAAGACCAAAGCATTTTGTTCCCAGAACATGTTACTGGTGATCAAGTAGGCAGGTTGAATTTCAGGGGTCAGGGACTTCGCGCTGAACCTTCTTCAGAGGATATATATGCGCCGTCATACAGTGATACCTTAAACCTGGGAGAGAAGCTGCAGCATCAGGCGGGAGGGAGAGGGGGGAGGAGGCATGCTTGTAACCTTTGCTCCATGACCTTCCATGATTCGGCCTTACTAAAGGCCCACAAACAAACGCACAAAGGCCCCTCACAAGCGCCGCCATATTCCTGCACACAGTGCGGAAAGACCTTCTCACAAGCTTGCAACCTCAAAGTCCACCAGAGGATTCACTCGGGGCAGGGGCTCCACCTCTGTAGCCACTGCGGGAAAGGTTTCCCGTCTTTCGCGGACCTAAAGACGCACAAGTGCAGCCAAACGGGGGACAAACCTTACAGCTGCACCGTGTGTGGGAACAAGTTCAGCCGCCTCTGGAATCTGAAACTGCACCGAAGGATTCACACACAGGAGAAACCACATCGGTGCACCATGTGCGATAAGAGCTTCACGCGGGCGGACATATTGAAGGTTCATCAGCGCACACACACGGGGGAGCGGCCATACTGCTGCACTGTGTGCGGCCTCAGCTTCAAACGCTTGGACCATCTGAAGTCACATCAACGGAAACATGCGACAGATTGTTAAATCAAGGGACGTTTGGAGAGACTGTTAAAAATTACAATATTGTTTATTTTATAAGGACATTTGAAAATCATTGCTTTCATTTATGAGTCATGGATGTTTTTTTTCTTCTCTTCATTGTCAAATGCTTTCTTGTTTTTCTATTCAAACTAATTTTGGTCGTGGTTAAAATATAAGACACTGATAAAACACCTCTTATGTGTACCCATGTATTGCTGGATATGTTGTTCCAGACAGAAAAAAACTACTTTCATTTTCATAATCATTGTTATTACATTACAGAATTAAAATAAAACCAAATAATGATGTTGTTTTTTTTCCCCAAAAATGTGCTTTTTATGTTTCACTCAATGAACTTACTTGAAAGTATTAATTGT